CTCCTCTCCTCTCTTCCTCCCTCCCTCTCTCCATCCCTGCCTCTCTATCTCCCTCCCTCTCTCCCCGTCTTCCCTATCTCCCTCCCTCCTTTCCCCTCTTCCCTTCCCTCCCTCACTCCCGGGAGTGCCTCGGACCGGGCCAAGGGCGGCCTGGGGGGGTGAGCGGGCGGCCGGAGATTGGGGAAGGGCCATGACGGAGAGGGGGCGGCGGAGAGGGGAGGGGAGGGGCGCGCGAGGGGGGCGCATGGTGTCCCCTCTCGGCCCGACCGCTCTCAGTGCCTCCGCGGCTCCTGTGGCAGACGCACCAGCAGCAGAGAGAGGCAGACAGCGGCGTGTCAGTCCAGCGCGCTCCCCGGGCCGAGCCACGCCGCCGTCGCCAGGACAGGAGGACATTGCTGTTGAGAAGAGAAAACAAAGACAATAATAACAATAATAAATAAAAGCATCTAAGGACAAGGGGGCCGGTATACAACCCCACCCCTCTGACCCCCCTCCCCCCGACGAAGTTCCCTCTCTCGCAGGAATCTTTCCGAGGGCCGCCCGACGCAGGCTGCTGGAACCTCTTCCCCTAACCTCATCTCCCTCCTCCTCCTCCTCCTCCTCCTTCCTCTGCTGCTCCTAAAGAGAACTCCTCCTCCTTTCCTTGTGCCACCCCCATGTGGCGTGCCGAGCCGAGCGTGCTGCCGGACCCCCCTTCCCGCGACGACGCCGACGAGGACTAGCCGAGTGCCCCGGCCGAGCCTCGAGCAGAGCAGGCACGAGCAGGAGAGAGAACCTGGAACCTCATTCGCGTCCGTGTGTGTGTGTGTGTCTGTCTGTTTCTGCTCCCGGAACCTCACAGCTCTCGTCCCACTCCGCCGTCGTGTGCTGTGGAGCTAACTCGCTGTGGAGCGTATCGAAAGGGCCCCGTGCCGTTCAGTGAGAAGTGTCGGGAGTACGGCGTGTGCTCCTTTTTGTTCAGGCCGTGTTGCAAAATCGTCTGGGAGTATCGTAGCCTCGCTGTGCGAGCGGCGCCGCGAGTATCGTACGGCCGCGTGAAAGTGTCGTACAGTATTCTCTAACCGTTGTGATTCTCTCCTCCTCCCTGCCTTAATTACTGTCCACCGCTAGTGTTCACCATTCGCTGCTCATTGTTCTCCTCCAGCAGACTGTGCCAAACTCTAGACCAGAAGAAATATGCACGGCGATCGTAGTCTGTGTCCTTCGAAGTCTATCTGAACGCCCCCCCCCCCTCAACCCCCTCTGATATCGTCGAAGAGGGTGATGGAAAGGAGACCGTTTAATCTATCGCCAACTCTGTGAAGTGCCTCAAAGACGAAGTTGCCAAGCTTCGTTACAACGTCGAGAAGCCAGCGAGATACATCGAACCGACTTCTTGTACTTCGGAACACAAAGAAATAAGGGAGAAAAAAGCAAAAGATAGAAAAGGGAGAAAGAGTAATAATCAGGAATTATTTCAATATTCTTAGTACACTCCGGCCGTTATCTTGTGGGAGTACGGGGCCGCAGTGCTGGCATCGTGTCCTTCTAAATATTACAGGTGTGATTAGATCGCGGTCGTTAAGAGGATGTACTTGGGAAGCACATAAGATTCTGAATTCAATGAATAGCCAATGAGAGTGCGGCACGCTCAAAGTTGTCTCTTGGTAAGGAAAAAAATATATGTCCAATTCCCAAATCGCCGTCTCTGGTAACTGACTTAGCCCCCCTACCCCCCTTCAAGCCTCCCCCCCTCTCTTACCTCTCCCGTAATTGGGTCAGCGGCGTGCTCGAACAAGTAGGAACGACTTTCCTGTGTTCACTCACCATGCGTATACAGAGCTGAGAGAAAAGAAAAGAAAGGGCAAGAAAACATCGGACTCAGATAGAGAAATAGAAAAAGAGAGCGGTAGCCTCCGTCAGAATTGAGAATAGCGAAAAATACGTAAGATAATCGCATCTCCAGTCGTATGGTAAAAATTGCCAACCTTGAACCTGTCCTCGCCTTCGACCGGAGCCAAACGCCCTCGATAAAAAGTCGGCGAAGAATTGTGGCAGTGTGTCGTGGGTGACCTGGCGAGTTCGTGTGGGCAGAGCACCAGGTGGGTGTGAGGTCAGGTGGAAGGGACGTCCCGAATGCAAAGGCGGCCTGTGATTGGGCGAGGGGCGGGGCTTCGTGGCGCGGCCGACCAGTGGCTGCCGGTAGTGTCGCGAGAGGCTGGGAGTCGCTCGGCCGCCGTACCGCAGTGAGATCAATGGCAGTAGAACCGCACGCTAACTAGGCCCATCGCGCCCGCACACCCCCACGCCCACCGGCCCGGACCACAACATCAGTGGGCATCGCGACGTCAAGGGTGCCAGGTTGTTCTCGCTCCTGCGGATCAATCCCCCCCTCTCTCTCCCCCCTCTCGCTGCCCCCCAAAACTTGAGAGCGAACGGGACGAGGCGAACTCCGTGAGCCTCGACGCCGCCAATTTGTTCCAACGACCTGCCGAGCCTTATACCAACGGAAATCTTTGGGCCTTATTCGATGTTTTGTGAGCCTGAGTGTTTTAAGACGAGCTCCCTCCACTGCCTCCCCCCTCTCTCATCTCTCTCCCCCAAACTCCGCGCGGTGTGAAAACTGGTGTTGTGTGGTGTTGCCTAGACAGTGTGTGATGCTGTCCCCTCGAGTTGTTATACCTGTGCTGTAGTGAGTCCTCACCTTAGAGATTTCCCCTCACTGCTCGACTCCCCTCTCGCCCCTGTGTTGCTGTGAATGTAACCAGTCCCCTCACTCGCCGAAAGGAATTAATTACAAGATTTACCACTTGAAAGGAAATTATATATAAATATATATATATTGTCTACTGTGCTTTCCAACAGGAAGAAGTGATTATCTATATCTGCTGAAATGATTATGTTGATGATTTGTTGAATAATCGTATAAGGAAATGTGTCTGAGAAAAAGTAGCTAGAAATGTCGACCTGTTAATAAAGTAAAGAGAAAAGGAAACTGTAAAGAGAGAAAAAAAAATATATATATATAAACGCCAGTTTAGTATCGAAGCCTTTGGTATTTTGAGTGTGTTAGAAATTGGAATCTTTTTGATCTTGTCCTAATTTTTTTCACGATCTAAATGGCTTCCTCTCAGCGACACAGTGAACGTCAGGTTATACGTTGTCACAGATGACGTGTTTTCTCTGGGACAAAAAGACTTTCTTCAGTTAATGTGGAAGCCCAGACTGCAAGCTCCGTGCCAAGGAGAAGCCCTAGGTGCCGGTGCTGGCCAGGTTAGGTCAGGTCGCCTCAGGAGTTGACCAGGTCGTCTGCTTCCCTCCCGGCGCCAGGTGCGGGCCAGGCCATCACCTTCCGTGATCCCCGGCTGCCTTTGCCCCATTGGAATAGGAAGGGATTGAAAGAAAAAAAAGCAATCTGGAAGAAAAATACGAGAGGAATTGGAGAAAAGAAAGAGGGCAAAGGATTAGAAAATAAAATAATAATTAACCTTATATCACATCACATTCTCACCCCAGATAATAACAGGAAGAAAATCCACACACCATAAAAAGAAGAAAAAAACAAAACAAACAGAAAAAAAACGAAAACGAAAATACAAATCCAACAAATCGAAAGTGAATGAGAATTTGGTTAGCGCGACTCCCGAAAAACCGCCAAGATGTTGGATATCTTCCGAGGTCTCAAGAACTTCATCAAAGTCTCCCACGTACACATCGACTCCTCGGTGTTCCGCCTCCACTACTCCATCACGGTGATGATCCTCCTCGCCTTCAGTCTGATCGTGACGACCCGCCAGTACGTCGGCAACCCGATCGACTGCATCCACGCCAAGGAGATACCCGAGGATGTCATCAACACGTACTGCTGGATCCATTCCACGTACACCATCCCTTCTGCGTTTAATAAGAAGCTTGGTGTGGACGTAGCGCATCCGGGCATTGAAAAGTCTCACGCTGAGGAAGAGAAGAGATATGTCAAGTACTACCAGTGGGTATGCTTCTGCCTCTTCTTCCAGGTATGTGTTCGATTGAGTTTTTTTTTTCCCTTTATCTATCTGTGCTTTTTTTTCATCTATGGTATCTCGTCTTTTTCGTTGTGGTATCTACTCTTTCCGATAATTATTACGTCGCTTTCTTTGCCTTCTTCTTTGGGAATTCTGAGCTGTTCCGTATATATGGCCTTCTGTGTTGAAGATCTGTGGGTTTCTGTCTATCCTTCGTTCTGTACTATTTCGAGGAATTATAACCTATTTTTTCACATAAAATTCTTATTAGAAATATATTGAAAATACCATAGAATGAGGTAAGATTTCTCACACATAAAATAACAAACTTCGGCTTAAGGAAAGTATTTAATGAAATGACAAACATTTCTCTTTCTGTTGATAACTTCGATTATAAAAGATAAATGATAATAATCATAGATAATACGTTTGACAACGATTAATAACTTCAATAGCTTTGATAAATCTTAATGGGAAGGATAATATTAACATTCTCTTCTTTCAATGTAATTTTAATATGAATAATGGTAGCAATGTTGATAATGATGATGATAATATCAAGTATTCTGATATGAATTGAAAAATGGCCGCTACTGATGATGATAATGATTATATTCACAATGATGAACTTATCGTTGTATAAGTACTCTCGATTTAGCACTCGATGTAAGTGTCACCCTCACTTTAAGTCTGAAATCATTAATTAATCCCAGTTCACAATCTGAGAATTAAAATGCCACCAGATTCTAATAAAAAAGGATGCAATATTGAGACATAACACTGATAGCAAAACTCTATTAACACTTCTGTAAATGTCATATGCATAATGCTATTGATATTTTCGTAATTTTTTGTTCGTTTTACCAATTTCATCGTGATTTTTTATTACTGATAATATTCTAAGTAAGGAGAATAACCATAAACATATTTAAAAGGACATATTTCTTCTCTCCTATCGCCATCATCTTTTTTTTCTTATTCCTTTTCGTAATCTGATTTCCATTCTCCTTCTTATAC